TTCGGACACCTGAGGCGCCACTTTCTGGACAGCTCCACATTATCATGCAAATTATAATATTGTATTTAAAATAGGTCATGTGACCTCCGATTAAGGGCACGTGGCACCGGTAAGCCCGTGTCTCTGCTTCATTCGTTTCCGGGAACTCAGTGCGTCAGCTCTTTGTACCGCTCATTTCTCCGTAATCGGAATTAGTGAAATTGTGTCAGCTCATTTCTAAACCCTTATTACGGTTTATCGGTCCGCTCATCAATCATTGTGATTGTAATTATCTCGGTCTGCTCAGTGACTGATTGTGACTACCTATTATTTTTTATTGACAAATACAGTGTTTTTGTGAAACCACGTGCACGTGTTCTACTCATTTTTTGACCCGCTCATTCCACTTACGCAATCCACTCAAATCTCGCTCATCTATTAATTATTCTCACCGATCCAGGCATCTTATCGAACAATAGTTAATATGGAAAATATATAGTTATGCTTTAGCTATCCATGCACAATGCAATCAATCAAGTGAGACTATATACCGCTGAAAGATTGTGTTCTAAACTGGCCCGTTTTACAGCGGATAAACTTTTTACAGAGACTGTCGCGCGACAACAACCTTAATCATAATAAATTAGCTGGTGCAAATTGCATTCCCCACTGACAAATCATTGTATCATCAAAGTAACATTGTTTTTTTTATATGAGGGAAAACTTGGTATAACGTACACAAAAGTGAAAGTTTAATACAAAACACGACCTAATTGTATAAGATGTCGGTATGACCTACCTCACCATCGATTGTGCGAAGGAACCACAGTAAAAGAGACTACCAGGCAGGTAGACTGGTGTGGCCACTTGAGTACCTGTCATCATCATGCCTGAAACGGTGGTTAAGAGGTAAAAATCAAGAAAACCTCAGTTAGAAATCATGGACGATCTGGAGCAAGCCACATAATTGCTCAAAGGTATTTTCAAAGGAATCCATGTCCGTTCTTTATTGACTATAGTGGCAAGTGACTAAATAATCCTGCAATGGCAACGGCAAATGGGAACAATCCTGAAGACGACAAAATTGCGACAACGTTGAAATGGACCACCCCAACCATGAGTTCGTCAACATCAACAGCAGAAAAGGTAGGCCACTAGGGGTACATCTGCTCCCAATGCGTCCCCATTGATTACACAGAGTTGGCAGGAACCATGGTGTCAGCAGCAACACTTATTCAACAAAAATTATGAGATGGCTTTTAGGAGTTGCCACAATTCACGAAATGATTTCTTGTTGTCCAAAGAGCAAGCGTCACTAGCCTCGAAGGGTCCACTCCATTCCACAAGTGAGTGTTCCAATGAATAATAATTCTCCATCGCCAAAGGCCGTCAAAAATTTATCGGTGAGGAACGTCAGAAAAATGCGTAAACATGCAACTTTTCACATTACTAAGTCTTTGTTTCAAAAATTTCTATGGCACTTAGGCAGAGTGCCGATGGCACCAGGTTACGGATACTCCCGCTGGAAGCATTCCTTCTAAACACATTGCTACGTATATGAACATACTTCCCGCCGCACCTTGGAATCGTTGGACAACGAAAAATCAGACCTACCAGACACTGTCGGTCATATCGCTATCAGACCAAAAAAGTATATAAACGGTTGTCTGTCGTTTTATTAATTGTTCAAAAAGGCGTCAACGCTGCGCAACCAGCTTTTGTTGCCAGGATAGGCTTCAATCCTTAGTGGACAACTCCTTTTTTCTGCATCAGCCTGGTCAAGTGCTGGGTGTACAACTGAGCTTATCGCAAGCGTGCAGCTCAGTGTTCTCTCACCACCCAGTACTGACCTAGCCAATCTCTAAGCGTTCGACGGAGTTCATCCCGAGTGAACAGCTCAAAATTTTCTACAGCAAGCAGAGCCAAGCTGGCGAATCATTCAGTATTCAACTGAGTTCATCTCTAGCGGCTAACTCAGAATTTTCCATGACCAGCCTAACCAAGCTAGTGAATTGCTCAGCAGGCAGGTGAGTTTACCCCGAGCGTGCAGCTCAGGATCCTCACGATTCGGACGCCGAGCAGGCCGAAGCTAGTAAGTAACTGAGTGGACAACTTACGCTCATCGTCATCAGCAACATCTCCAAAGTCTTCATCATGTCATCATCACTATCACTGGTTAGCATGGTTGAAGCACACCTAAATTCATCACTGCTAAAAAACTAGCATATTTTTGGAGTTTTTTCGAAATCCTATGCCGAAAGGAAACACCGAGAGATCGTTCCCTCCCTTGTGCCGTGTTTTTGTAACCACAACTCTAATCGCACACAAACAACATTGACAAAATTTTTTTTTATATTTCTTTCTACCTCTAGCCTTGCTTTTATCTTGGAATTTTTTACTTTTCTGTATTTCAAGTGAAATGCTATAAATTAGAAATCTAATCAAAGAGAAAGTTAAGGGTATCTTCCTCTTTGTGTGCTGATTCCTCAATTAATAATTTTTGTATACGTCACTACTAAGTACCACGCAATAGGTCGCCTTAAGTAACATGTATGAAAGCCTTTTTCCTCCGACAATAACTATCATGAGTAGCTACGGTCAAGTCAGCTTAATGTTTCACCTCTTATTCGAAATTTTGACGCATTCAATGACCCAGTCTCCACAACACTACTATGGTATGTAGCCGCGAGAAAAGGCGACTTGTCCAGACAATCGCATGTTCTCGAGGGATAATGATGTACAATAAAAATAGTCATCATCCTGCATCTCGTCAACTCAAAATCGGTGCCAATAAAGCCTGAAGATCACTCAAGCAAAACAAATGCATTTCAATCCCAATTAAAATAATATTGTACAAAAGTTCCATCATTTGTGGCATGTAACAATACAAGGATTTAATTAGTTTTAAGAATATAAATTTTCAATGTCGGATACTACCGAGTCTTGGAGAGTTATCCCAAAATGGTGTGGAGTTTTTCCGTATGTCATCTTAGTATCGGAAGCACAATAGCCAAAATGTCATGGACAAAATTTTATGCCGCGAATACATCCGCAATTATAGGCCAGGAGATGCCAGAAGTCTCCATTCCATTGAAAGATATTCACTCGTTGAGGTCCCATCCCGTTTCATTTCGATTAAGAAGAATATGGCCGCAGTCGTCACATATCCCAATAAATGCTGCGAGTCGTTAGTACAGTCAGGTGTAAATTTTCTGCTGGACTTTCCAAATAGAAATGGGGAAAATCGTCGGCGGCCAATTGTGTAAATATTCCATGAAGAAGATTCTAAGGAAAAATGAAATACCAACTATGGTATAAAGTGAAAGCATAGCATCTTTAAGGTTATCAGGAACATTACCGTTGCTCGAGTTGAAAAGGGGATGAAGGCCTTAGACATTCTCCTAGAGTCAATTGAAAAACAATCGAAAATTTCCTAGAATTCGGAATATGTAATTTTTATTCATGTTCGACGTGTTATGGATTCGATCCAGCCGAGTTGTTTTGTGGCAAGGCTCTATGCATGTCGCTTCTCAAAGCTA